GAGAACTTGCGGCAAGAACAACGCGGAGTAGTCGACTAGTCGCCAGTCGCCATGTTGATTAACTTAAGTAATGTACGCGCGCGCGACCGTCGACGTCGTCGATATTAATTTAGCGCGTCGCAATCCTTACAGTACCTGCTTGCCGACATTCACAGGAAGATTACCTTCCACCGTCGAATGAATCAATATTGATACTAATTAAACTCTGTGGCGTTGTGGGTACCTTTGGCATACATGTGGCGGCGCGAGTGCATCTTCTCTTCGAACCGTGACAAGTGAAAACAGGCGAATTGGATATCGTGCGCGTATTACCGTTGAGCACACAGCTGTGCCGAAATTTCGGCGGCATGCTCGTGTCCGTCTTTCGGACCGTCACTGGTGAGTTCAGTTCAAAATGCCGAAGACGAGCAGCCACTTGTTGTTGTTCTACATATAAAAATCGTGTGTGCGTGAACGCTGTGAAGAGAAACTACGCAAACGAACATGAATAGCGCAGTAACTGCATGTCGGTTACTATCTGGGCACGTCTCATCTTTTTCATTTTATTTTAAGCCCGTAGCATTTCGATTGCTGCAGAGGAGAAAAAATACATGAAATTATGAAATGCTATTTGCATGTTTATGCGATATTTGCCTTTCAAAATAAAAGCATATATTTTCTATCAGCAACCTTTTCGTTATAAAGTTTAGCAGTAGAAAATGTAATGAAATAATGTCTGTGAGAGGTGTTTATGTAGATGTGCACGATCCCTTATTTAGGTAGGGCTTTTGTAATGAAAATTAATAGAAGGTAAATTACGGATAAACAAGTGCACGACTGCGACGAGATTTGCAATTTGAACAAATACATTCGGTACCTAATTGCGCACAGTGTACACACGCAAAAAGCTATTAAATGTTATGCAGTATAATTAATTTAAATACTAATAATAATGTGACTAGACCTAAATTAACATTTTAACTAAATATGCATGTTGCTGTAAAAAGTGAAGCAAACATTTTCAGGAAATGTAAAAAAGTATGCTTTGCCATTACCTAATTAAGATCATCAAAAGACAGTTTTCTAATTACTTCCTGGAGGGTTACATAGCAAGTGGAAACACTTTCTTTTGTCCTCGCTGAAATTATAATAATTATAATTGTAATCATTAATTATAAGTGGCTTCTTGTTAGCGTCATAAATGAATCATTTTATTGATTAAACTTTTGATAATATTTTATAACTTTTTACGCTTTTAAAGAGTTGTTTGTTTAAAAAAGTTTGGACTGACGATAAATGATTTAGAAATGTCAACAATCTTATTATTTTTTTTATTACTTTCAATGTTGAATATAATCTTATTATTGAACACTCGCGAAAGTAATTTTTATAATGTAGGTTTTGTGTTACTTTCAATAAGATACACGCGAATTTAATTTTTTTTCATTCGCAAATTCCCAATTTGACTCGGGTATTAATAAATTTATTTCACACATTCTACACGGTTTAAATATGGAGCATAATAATATTAATCGCTTGTATTCATCAGTTTCTTTAATTTGCGGTTAAACTTAATTAACATTACCTCCATTTAATCTATTGTAGCGTGGGCGTAGGTTGCAAAACGTACTTTCTGTATACATAGGATTACAATTCAACAACGACTTGACTAAATTATTCTTATTATTCAGAACAGAACAAATCCAGGCTCGGTATGTAAATATGTTAATCGGCAATCATATTTGTAGATAGAAATCGTTCTGCATTCGTTAATAATCTCTTCTAAATAATTATTGTTACATAAAATTGCCAATATATTTTTAATTTTTATTATTTTCTTGATTTTCAAATAAGGAAATTGAACTTTGTTATTATTCTACAAAGTATATTTTATAAATTATTAATCGTCTGCTGTTATGGTATTGCAACTTTTTTTTTATATATCGTGCAGTTATAATTATGGTCATTTGTACTAAATACTAAACACAATCATTTATAGTGGTATGAAATATAAAAATGTGCCACTCGGGTTGATTTACGATCGAGGATAGATAATTAACGTCGAAAACAAAATAACGAAAAAATGAAGATCGTGATGCGTTCCGTTCGATGCTTTCCAAATACGGGCACGTCGCTGATTTATTTGTATGATTCGAAACGTGGAGAATTCTTCGCCGAATTGATTTTTGTTTGGCAGCATAATGATGTAAGTTCCAAATGAAGTTTTCAATAAGTTGTGGGTGGACTTAAATATATTTGTTTTTCGTCGGGCGTGTTATTAATGTTGTAATGGAGCATAATGTAACGGACATTTGAAACAATGGAATGTTGTACACCTGTTAAACAAATTTTATACGTATTGTAATACAATATGTCAATTATTTGCCTAATTTTGAACTTGCGAGTAGTGTCTCCATCTGGTGGCGGTATATAAAAATTAAATTAACCAAACTTATAAAAAATTATCTTTAAATTTTATTTTCTCTCTTTTTTTATTAATTCAACACATATTTAATTAATTTTATTAAAATTTTATAAAAACTTGTTCCTACTGGATATCTACTCATAAATTACTCAAGTATACCGCAAATTTTTTTCATCCTAATTCTACCAGAACACTACATGTTCTGTGTATACATAATTTAAATTTAATTCATAAATTCCATAAAATACAAACCAGCATTTTATAAAGTGTTTACAGATTAGCAGCTAAAAAAGAATGCGAAACGTTTACGATTAGCCATGAACGAACGGACTTTTTATTTAAAACGTAACGATAAAACAACATTATAACTATACACACATATTCATATACTTATTTACTTATACATATTCCCTAATTACGAAGAGGCCTTGACGCCGACCGACTCTGACTGGCGGCAACATCCTTTTACTTTGCGTTCGCTGTCACGTTGCGCATTCAAAGGATTACCATATGCATGTGTGTATATCGCATGTGCGAATCGAAGTTGAAATACGCTTAGGAATAGACCAGTAGCACAGCTCAAGTTGTTGTATACCTGGGACGCGCAGCAGCACGAATAATTGAGATAAACTGATATCAAACGGCCGCCGCAGCTTACACAAGTGCATTTACATCGGAGCGATGACATATACGAGAAAAAAAATTCCCGTTTGCATTGTGTGACGCAATTTGCATTTCATTTGCATGGTAAGATGATAATTATGTCGCTCGCATTTCCGTTTTGGTTGGGTATATTTTACCTTTGGTTTTCGTATGAATTAAATCGGTTTAATGCGAAATTGTATTCACGTTGCAGTTGCAGTTTTGTTTTTCCGAATTGCGACGTGGGTGGTAAGCGATTTAATGCGCAGCGTTAAAACTTTATTAGTTGATTTGATTTTTAGTCCTTCGCGTGAATTACGCGCGATTGAAATTGTTGAAATTGGTAATTAACTTGTTTGGTGGGATTTCTCTGTGATCATGACTTTGAAATGTTTTGAAACTTTAGTAATTATTAAATGTATAGCTAATTTTGCGGTAATTTCATAATTAACAATGAAATTATTTATTTTCGGTAAAAATTATAAAAATATTTTTTTATATTTCTGCATCAATATAAAAATTATTTTCAGAGTGGTGTTACTATAATTGAAAGTTTGACTCTTATGATGTTCAAGATAAAACCTACAAATCCAAAAACCGATTACGACACCGATAATAATACGCAAACGTACAATTTCCCCAATACATCGCGATTTACCTTTACGCATATACAAAAGATCAGACTAAAGCTCACCAAGTCGATTAAAACGGCACGAAATAATTGCAAATCGCGGCACGGCAAAATGTTGATAGGCCTCGCAATTACATGCAACATCGTCGTTGCTTTAGTCGTTTGCATTTATGATTATGGCTTCGGATGTGGCCGCAATGATCATTTTCAACATTTTTATCCAACCAGTTTGTCTATTAAATTCTGCATTATTCTGCGTGTGTACAATGTGTGTAATCTGCGCGCACGTAGCACGTAATTCGTGCTTGCGGGACGGCGGCTTCTTGCCATCAGTTATTGTCCGATTGCGATGTCGCGAATGTTTGCGCAATGTGTGCCATTAGAGAGCCACACATGCTGATATTACCCATATATCCATTTGTTGCAATAGTTAATTTCATTTTGCTATTATTGCCGTTCGTAGACAATTTCATAGACAATAACATGATGGTACCTGTATTTATAGCAATAATTACGGTTTAAAAATATTCCGCGCAGAACAAAACAAAACAAAGTTTAGTAACAACAACATAAAAAAGTGTGTATAGTTTACAAATAATTTTTCGCCTCGCAAAATTGTCATTAGCGAAAAAATGTTATGCTGTGTTGTGTCACATGTGTTGATTCATTTATGATTTACTAATTGCTTCTGCAATTTCGTAATTGCAGCGCGAAGCTAAATTTTGATTTCTTCCTCGTCTCGTTGCTGTCATCTAGCGTGTAATGAGCAAATAATTATTGTATAATTATCAATTACATCATGCAACGATATTTTTTGTTCGGATCATTTTTGTCTCTCGGCAATTACATTGTTAAAACGTGCAGTCGCGATTACATGCAATAAAAACATAAATTACCCTTCTTGATGAAAATCTTCCATCCCGGAGTTAAATAAATTATCTATTCGGATACAAACTGTAAATAATGATTAACTCGTCACGCATGCATTTAATAATAACAATAAACACTTTGTTATCGTGCGCACGCTGACACTGTAAACTTAATTTTCTAATTAATCATTTTAAGGACGCGATGTTTAAATAACATCCTAATTAATTATTATCGGTGTGACATATTTGATTGGCGGTCACTTTGGCTCATATGTTATTCATAATAAATGATTGAGTGCAGTCTGGAGGCTGTAGTTTTCAGTTCGTGTTGTTAAGAGACGCCGAGTGTCGTTTAATTAAAATTTATTATGTAAATTTATTAATTGCAAGTACAATATTAGTCTGAAAAATTGAGCCAATATTAAATGTGCCTGGTTTTTTGTTGTTGTTTTAGGTGCTCAGTCAAGTCCAATTATGCCGGGTGGTGCGACGCCGGGCACCCCGAGTGCCAAGCAAAAAGAAAAGTCGATGATACGGCCGAAGCTCGTCGTCGCATTGTATAATTACAAAGCCATCGAAACCGGGGATTTGTCGCTCGAAAAGGTATTTAATTACGTCTCTTTTTTCTTTACTCTTTTTGCACACCCTGGTAAAGGTCGTAAGTAATTTCATACTTGTTTTATATCGTGATAAAAAATTATCATCATTTTTTCATGATAACTTTACTTGTATAACAATTTATTTAGATCGAATGCATCTAAAATAAAGTGGTTGTAACTTTGTAACTTTCAACGTACAGACAGACTATTAAATTAAACTTGATAAAATTGTTACCAAAGTTATGCCAGACCACAAAGAAGATCAAATATCAAACTTCGATCGTAAAGAGCGCGCACGTTACAATATGCTTACGGATCGCATGGAATTTGAACGTTCGCCAATTTTGTAATGCAACATTTTTCGTTCGATTTTCAGAATGCCGAGTATGAAGTCATGGACGACTCGCAAGAGCACTGGTGGAAAGTGCGCGACCGCGACGGGTAAGATGACATAATTACAATATGCTCCTCGCATTGTTTTGCACACGTCTAACGTCTTCGCCACATTGCAGCGCCATCGGCTTCATTCCAAGCAATTACGTGAAGGAGAAAGAACTAATTGGACTGCAGCAATACGAGTAAGTCGCGCACGTACCCATACGTTCTTTTCCCGCGTGTAAAATATGCCTTTACGTCCTAATTAATTAATTAATTAAAGTTAATTTAAAGCATAATGATTATAATTGAGTTGAACATAGTTTTTGTTGCCGAGATGGTGAAATCATATTAATTTTTTCTTGTTTTTTTATAGATGGTACGTGAACGACATGTCGCGTCAACGTTCTGAATCGTTGCTGAAGCACGAAGACAAAGAGGGCTGCTTCGTCGTGCGAAATTCGTCGACGAGGGGCCTCTACACGCTATCGCTTTATACAAAAGTGTAAGTGTCCAGACTCATTATCATATTTTAGACGCAAGAGGCACTCGACTTTGACGCGCGTCGAGTTTATTGTTTAAGAGTGTCTTTTGCGTGATGATGGCCTATTTTTAATCGCCCACTCAGTCTGGCTCGCCTGCTGAGACGTTTAAATGATTAGAAATTACGTTAACAACCTGCGTTGCTTTTTCAGACCGCATCCGCACGTCAAACATTATCATATTAAGCAGAATTCGAAAGGGGAATTCTTCTTATCGGAGAAGCACTGCTGCACGTCAATTCCTGACCTCATAAACTACCACAAGCATAACAGCGGCGGTTTGGCGTCGCGTCTTAAAACAAGCCCATGCGATCGGCCCGCGCCCGCCACAGCTGGTTTAAGTCATGGTAAATCCATTTATGAGTTATTCTAGGAAAAACGATGTTTCATTGTTGTGTACTGTTTAGATAAATGGGAAATCGATCCACACGAACTTATGCTCTTAGAGGAATTGGGTTCTGGTCAGTTTGGTGTGGTGCGACGCGGAAAATGGCGGGGATCTATTGATGTGGCTGTTAAGATGATGAAGGAAGGCACCATGTCCGAAGATGATTTCATAGAGGAAGCCAAAGTCATGACGTATGTCCGCAATTTTGCCCTAACTTTGCTACTAAATCTTATTTATTGTTGTTTCTCTTCATTTATATAGAAAATTACAACACACGAATCTCGTGCAACTCTACGGCGTCTGCAGCAAGAACCGGCCCATTTTCATAGTCACCGAATACATGCGACACGGCTCTTTGCTAAACTACTTGCGACGACATGAGCAGTCATTATCCAGTAACCAAGGTCTCCTTCTTGATATGTGTATTCAGATCTGCAAGGGTATGGCATACCTAGAGCGACATAACTATATTCATCGTGATCTCGCCGCAAGAAACTGTCTTGTTGGATCTGAGAACATCGTCAAGGTGGCCGATTTTGGACTTGCACGATACGTGCTCGATGATCAGTACACGTCCTCTGGGGGTACCAAGTTCCCTATTAAATGGGCACCCCCCGAAGTACTTAACTACACGCGATTCTCATCGAAAAGCGACATTTGGGCTTACGGTAACTGCGCATACATTCAACTAGAATAATTAGGTCTTCGCGCATTTGACACTTGATTAATGCTGAGTTTCATTTTGCAGGCGTTTTAATGTGGGAGGTCTTCACTTGTGGCAAAATGCCGTATGGGCGCTTGAAAAACACCGAGGTTGTCGAACGCGTGCAGAAGGGCATGATTTTGGAAAAACCGAAGGGATGCTATAAGGAGGTGTACGATGTATGTGACAATTTTCTTGATTAAAACGTTCAATCAAAGTCTGATATTTGCTAATGACGCTGGTATATTTATTTTTTTTATGTTGTGGTTTAACAGATAATGAGAAAGTGTTGGAGCCCGCTGCCAGAACATCGACCATCGTTCCGCAACCTCAAAGAGCAATTAATCAACGTGTCGCAGGGCATTTTGGTTGATTGACTGGCCCAGCTGGTGTGCGAAACGGCGACGCGCAGCTCGTCTTCGGCGTCCAGCTGCGACTTGTGCACCCACTATGAGCAATCCTGGATCGGCTTCTGTCAGACGCTGTGCAGGGAGGCGAAACGGCGCGATCAGCTGCAGCAACAATAAAAATATCAACGCAACTTCCAAAAAAAGAAATAAGACCTGTGCACAATAATATAAATCGAATTGGAGAGAAAACGACATATGAAATACGCACTTTTACGATTTATGCTATTCATGGTTTTCCATTGCGGAAGGACCGCTTTCTTCCGAAGCATTTATTTGTTGGCAATCGAAGGAACGATAACTAAACGACTGAATTTATTAATGAATTAATTTAATACTATCAATATGTACAGCGTCAATCGAATCGATTGATGCTGCAAGGATATTTAATATGTATTTAAGAGATAAGTTAATCAACACTTGAATATTTCCAATACCAATGAAACAATGTTAAAGCGTTAAAATGAAAAGTGAAGCCAATTAATTAATATCAACCAATTGCAAAGTTGATTAATTGCATGAGTTTTATCAGTGCAGTTGACCTTTGCAATTTGATTAAGTATTGACCTGAGATGATGATGAAATCCATCTTTCTTTTTCACAAGTCACGGATGAAATCCATGAACACCGACGAAAACAAAACATACACATAACTTGTAAGAAATAATAACTTTTGACGAATTATTATTAATGATACTATGTAATAATGAGATACATATTTAATATTTTGGTGCCAGTGTATTTGCAAAATTTCCAATGCTAGTCTTTGTATATTGGACCAATTTATCTAACACACTGAAAACAAAACCAACCATGGAACAAGTTTCTAGAACAATCTAATATTACATTCACGAGAAGCGCAGAAAGCGGCCGTTTGAGGTTTCAGCCTCACGACGACTTGATAAAACAATCAATTCATAATAGCAATAGTAGATCATCACCATTATAAATGTTTTTCAAGCCCCCGAAACGCAACACTATGAATTGAGAACCTTGAATGAACCGGAATTTACCAATACATCGTAGATATTATATTATGATATAACTTTTATTAGATATTTGTGTTTTTTGTGACAATGATTGACAAAAATAGGTAGTGTTTGCTATTGGAGCTTTGTCAATCTTGATGCCAAACATAAACCTTATAATTTTGATTGATAATTTTTGTGATAATTTTCAAGCTTGTATTTTGCGATTTAAAATATCACTTTTATGAAGTATTTAATTTTAGATAATCGTACGCATTTCGCTCGATGGAAACGCCAGTTGTATTTAATTAATTAATTAGGTATGTAATCAAGCAAAAATGATGCAAATGCTCGGATGCATACAAATAAATTTAGAGAAATGATTGAATGAACGGAACACTAAGTGTAATTGAGTGTGAAATGTAAAAAAAAATGTTTTAATGTATAAAAAAGTTGGAAATTTTACTGAACAGACAAAAAATGTAACAAAAATTGGCAGAAATCATCCAGAAAGTAATAAATAAATGTGTGCTGAACTTATAGTCTGTAATAATAATGTGATAGAATTATAATAATGATGATTGTAATTTGTAAATGGGTAGTTGAGAGAACTATGGCAGGAAACATCCAATTGTGGAAACAGACCCAATGAAAAAACTTAAAGCAATTTTTCAAGATCCCATATTCAGGCTCACAGAAAATACATGATCACAATAAGATAAACAAACAAAAAAAACTTGAATATATCTTTGTCACTCCAAATAGTGCCTCTATTATTTGAAACAAATTATCAGAATATTTTCAGAGACAACAACTTACACGTTGAGCCTGATTGCAACATATTACAGTTTCCAAACAATAGAGAACAAAAGTAAACGTTAATTGTGTAGAAAATCAGAACAATTAAATAATTAAACGTTAACTTTAAGGATGAATATGGAAAGAACAGGGGTATGTTTTGCAAGCTAATGAATTGCATGATCATATGTAGGATAATACAATACTTCTTGGATTTGTACATTCTCCACATTAACCAGTTTTTAATAATCCGCATTTAAATTGATCACGACTGATCAAACACGTTTCTGTATCATTTACCTACCACATTTGTACGATCTAAGCCCTAAGGGAATCTAATCTTTCATACTGTGTTCATGCATTTGCATTGTAATTTGTAATAAATTGAAGTAACAACTTAAATATACAAATACGTGTAGAAAGGAATATCTAATTCAATTAATATTTGTAGTGTGAAATTTATTTTCTATTTTTACTCTATATTTGTATAAACATTTACAAAATGCGATGTTCAAGACCAGTTACATCCGGCGGACTATCCACTGTTCCTTTGATAACAATCTGGTTGATCCTCAGCATTGTTTGTTGTACTCTGTAGACTATAATTTCACAGCATTACTAATTATTCCCAAACATTGATCTATTTATTATGTTATTAAAGTAATACTTACAGTTAATATTAGTGTACTGCTTCCTTCTTTTCTTCTTAAAGTTTGTTTTTGTATGGGATAATGTTTTTTCTATAACAGTTGCATAGATATCAACTAATCCATCTTGTAACAATGGAGTACCAATCAAAGTAAAGTCCTTTGATCCAACAAGCATTGTCTAGAAATAAAAATCATCATAAAAGTAGAATATTTTGATTAGAAACATGAATTATAATATAATACCTTCTCCAATTTTATTTTATCCCCTGCTGTTGGAGGCCAATAGCCTTCTACAATAATAATATCACCCTCAGTAATCTTAAATTGTTTACCACTGATGTGCACCACAGCAAACAGTCTGCCTTGTTCATTATTGGCAATCTGTGAGTTTACTTTGTTTATTATATCTACAAATAAAAGACATAGAGGTAAATATATTAAAATTAATGACTACCAAATATAGTTCTACCTTGATTCAGAAGCTTTTTCTCATTTGGATCAACAATTTCATAAGGGACTGGTTTGCTGGACATAAAATGTCTTGGCACCGTGCTTATTACCGGAGGTTTAAGCGCAGATCTTACTGATAGTTGTTTAAATAGATTTCTTAATATTAATGACATTTTTCCTACAAATTATAACAAATTTGTTAGGATTTTAGATGTTTATAGACTCATGTGGGAAATATGAGCGGAGTTAACCTTAGCAATGTGTAGCAAGTTGCAAACCTTTCCATTTTTCCATCTTTACCGCGGTACCCGGAATATTTGTTTTCTGCTAACATGTATACATTTCATAGTTAAATAATAATAATAGTTTAATTTATAATAATTACAACGTTATAAATATATCTATTTAATATTTAAAAAGTAATAAACCCTGAATTGTATTGAGTTGTAATCCAATTTTAAATGTTTTTAGTTATCATATCCACCGTACTTGAGTGAGGGCAGCACCTACGGGCGGCAGAAAGTGATTCGTGTGTCGTGTCAGACTCGGTCAAATTTTCCGACAATCTTGTGTCAGCCGAGTCACCCGCAGTTGATTTTGTTATTGCGCTTGAGAAACCAGTGATAGGAATAATCATAGAAGAAATGGCGGACTTCGGTGACAATTTCGACAACGAGGTAGATCCAGCGGCTGAGTTCCTCGCTCGTGAACAGAACGAGTTGGGTGCCATCATCGACGATGATCTCAAGCCGTCCAATCCGATGTCGCAGGTCAACGGCGGTGAGTCCATCGAGCTAACCTCTCCCATGTCTCAGTCCGCCCCCCGTTTTATTTCTATCTGTTATCTACTTCTTACCATCTCTGATTATGATTGTTCACTAATGAAAATAACGTAAAGCTCGATTACTCTTCGTGCATTGTTATTTCGCACACCATGTAACACTCACCATGAATTCGCGGACTGTGCGCTTTTGAGCATGCTAAGATTTTGTGAATTTTAAGTTGAGCTTTCACTGTAGATGGTGTTCATGTTGATGGTCTTAAAGAAAATTCTGGATCCAGCTTCGAAATGATTGATGGGCTAGAACAGGATGGTTTTGATAAAGAGAACCCATCTGGTATGTATTTTTTTGGGGGCTGTAAATTCTGATCTTAGTTGCTCTTTGCAAAGTAATGGTGACACACTCTTTACTTTCTGTTTCTAATTTCATACTTACTTTTCTTTCCTTTGGCTCCTATTTGTAGAACAGAATTTTTTCAATCAGCCTATTGAAACAGGTAAGGATACCTGTACTTGGGTAGTAATATATATTTTTAGTAAGTTGTCCAGGAAAATTGTATTTTTTTCTGGGCAATTTAGTTTTTATAGTTTTTGAAACAAATGCTACTAGCTTTGAATACTATTTATTGCAAAATTATCAATTGAAGCTGGTACTATTTGAAATTGTAGTTTATATATTCTTGTATAATCTTACTAGACTTTATTGCATCTACCTTTTTTTGTATGTACATGCATGCTGCATCTAGTTGATATTTTTCTGTTCTTAGGTAATACTAATAATTATGATTTTGATATGTATGGACGAGATGATGGTAAATTACAATCAAACATTGGTTATTAAACACATTGACTAAATTACTTTGTCTTTTAGCTTCTCCATCGCCACCTCTACAAAAAGTGAGAGAGGAGCCTGAAAAGATCAAAAAGTGGCGCGAAGAACAAATAAAACGTCTGGAGGAAAAAGGTGTGTAGTAAAATTAAAGTTAAAATTGGATCACAATTATAAATATATTATTATTCTCAAGTGTATACATATATGATTGCATGTACAAATATAAATTCAAAAGTGCTGGTGCTGATAAATCCAAATTCCAGTCAGGTGTAGTTTACCTGAAAATATAAAATAAATTATTATTGTTACAGATAAAGAGGAAGAAGTAAAGAAAAAGGAATGGCGGGAAATTGCGAAAAAGGAGCTCGAAGATTGGTACAAAAATCACGAAGAAACGATAGCAAAAACAAAAGCAGCAAACAGGTAACCAAAACTAGTATTCAATTTTTACGCATTCGGAAAATCAATGATAACTTTTGATACTAACTTTCATATTCATATCTCTGGCTGGTTTGACCCAACTAATTCTGTTAATATTATTATGTTAATGTAACGCCCGCTTATACAAATGTGCTGTTCTCATGCTTGCGTTTTCCGAAGGGATGCGGCGAAGTAAGTATATGCGTGTGCTTCGTTTTCTTCTATCTTAAACTCGTAGATGTGTAATATGTTATTGCGCAGTCTGTACAGTGCATATTTTATCTGATCACGACCAACAATGACTATGTTTGCATCTAAAAATCTCGTGCCGGTGCGATATTAACATCTTGTCATTGTATATTAGGAATGCTGAGAAACAATTCGTCGCCGACGATAATGAAATAGAACCGGGCACGGAATGGGAGCGAATCGCCAAATTGTGCGACTTCAATCCTAAAGCAAAGCAGGGCAGCAAAGATGTGTCGCGTATGAGGTCAATGATTCTGCAATTGAAGCAATCGCCTCTGCCAATGAAGAACAATGCCTAATTAGACATTATCTAGTATGTAAAACGAGAAATATACATATTCTATTTAATTTTATTATTATATTTTGGTTAACTCAATGTTTGTTTGTTTCATCATAGATTGTTTTGTGTATGATTAACACGATCTAAGTAATTGAATTGTACTATTGTTTATCCGCCCTGTATTTTTAATTCTAAGTAAGTGGTGGCGATATTTCATCTTATTCACGTGTATACTTTAATGTAATTCCGAAACAAACCGAGTATTATGTTCAGACGAAAATACTACTGATACCGTACTGATTCATTTTAGTAATGAAAATTTTAGATTGTAGCATTTAATATATAATTGCAATCAAATATATCATGTTAAATTAAAGTGAGCACCGAAATTTTGAGTTGATTGTTGTTGTATAGCATTCCGTCGAATTATTAGTTATTAATTCGTTTGTGTATAGTTGCGTGTCATGTATCTTGTTTTATAAAATTACAACAACAAATGATATGATGTTACAAGATACGAACATTTAACAATGAGCGAACTATAAGCCAATGTTGAACGCAGTTTTGTTAGGAGTTAAATGACATGCAAAACACACAACAATAATAATGGCAAAATGTAAAAATCAGAATGTAAAATTTGTGCAAAACACACTCAAATGTGAAATTACTTTTAGAAGAGAAAAAACTAGATAACTAAAGAATCGTTGCTTGAAAATAATGTGTAAATGAATTGAAAGACAAAAAATGACAAAGATTATGATGAAATATGAAAAATATTAGAAATAAAATTACCATTCTATAGCCCAGTTAAGCTGCTTCAAATTCTTCAGATGTTCGGAATTAAAGTTGTTCATTTTATCTGAAATAAGAACGTAATTTAAATTTATAATTTCAGAACTAAAATGAAACATTTTTTCAGGCAGATAAAAACTTTTTAATAATATTTAATCTATTGGAAGTATAGCAAGCGGAAAGCATTGACACAAAACAAGAAAGTAAAGAATCCAACCTGCACTCATATGCCCCCGACACGAGAACACCATCAACGCCTTGCATTTGGTGGCAAACAAACTCAAATCAAAGTCTTTGATTTCTCTGCAGTGATCAATTCTGATATCTTCCAAGATGTCAATAAAATCACTATTAATGAGAGCATTCATTCCCTCATCTGTTACCTATATAAATAATTGAAAACACATTATAATTATGGGATATCAAACAAAAGTTTTATGGGATACTACCTGTGAACCAGATATGTCCAACGCAATCAATTCACGCAAATGCAGCAATGCCTTCAGCCCTTCATCCGTAATATATTTGCAATTGCTTAAGTTTAATTTTTGCAACTTTGGACAACTCGCTGCGATAGCACTCACGACTTCGTCCGAAACAGCATCACAATTTATAATGCGCAAATCAAGCATACGAGGAAAATTGGCAAGCGCTTCAATAATTGCCTGCGACGATAAGTTTGCCATGACCGAATCGCCGCAACATCTTACAAGATGGTCATTTGGACGACCATCGATGCGCAAAACTTCTAGATTTTTGCACACCTCCAACGACTTCATGACTTCGTCGTCAACAGCATAAAATGTGAAATTAACTTCATCCATTTTATCATGAAGCATTACGCTGATTATTTTCTTGAGATTGACGCTTTTATGTTGGATGAAGGCGTGGGATGAGAGGAACTTTCGGGCGATGAGAGACTTCACGTGTGCAGGAAAATACTTAACACAATCCAATTCTTCGTCTGTGTAACGGTCAAGGTTGTTCATAAATGCTTGCACCGCGCTGGAACTATGATTTGAACGTTATACTAGGACTTGTGCAATTCAAGTTTTAGATTAATGCAGGTATGGCGTGTTTTAAAAGTGTTATTGTATGATAAGATTAATATTGTACAAAAAATGTAGAGAACATTAAAAACAAACAAAAATGGGAGAAAATTAACTTCCAAATAATCAATATCTAACAAAATTCGACTTTTATTTAAAAAAAAAGATGATGTTTTTTAACAATACAACAGGGATTCATCCGTTGGTATTTACTTATTTTAACAATTGTTATATATTTTCAATCCAGAATGCACATACCTGAGTGAGAATTCGCCTTTAAAGCACTTACAGTCCAATAATGGATCATGATGGGACTGCTGCTGCGGACGGTCAAGAATGAATGGTTTTTCGACATTCCATGCGCGAAACATGATTGAAATAAAATTAAATTCCAAATATATTCTTAATTTGACACAACATAAACAGGACGACCACGACTGCGACACTTTTGTTTGGGTTCTGGCAAGAACATTGGCCGACTGCCCCCACAGAAACACACAGTTAGCCATGTGATGTAAAACAAGCTCTGATTGGTTGAGTTTGTTTTGTTTCTACCGCTTGTTTTGATCGAAATCGATTACAATAAAAAATAATTACAATGAACTTAAATTTGAACTAAAGTTTGAAGATTAAGATTGAATATGGACTTATTCTAATTTAATATTATATATTTCATTAGACTTTACACGTATGACATTTGAATTATTCATGTAGTGCCCTCGCTTTTGAAATATAGAAACTAAAGCGTATCTACTGACATCCGTGACATGTGCTTGATTTTATAAGTTCAGTGTGAGTTCAGTCTGGATCAGAGTCGCCTTTCGATTTTGGTTGTACAAATACGGTACACTTCACTGCCATTCAAATATAACGCGAGATTAATTAAACATGACAGATTTTGGTGATACAAACTTTGCTGATAAGGCCGGCGATAAAGAATTGCAAGATTTCTTGATGATGGAAAAACAGAAGGCCCAGTTTAACGCACAAGTGAGTGACTTTTGTTCTAACCTAGAAGCGACATATTCCCGATTTCGTCTATCGGCGTATATTTAGAGATAAATTAAATGTATAAAACATTTTTTTTCATTAGATTCACGAATTCAACGATGTGTGCTGGGATAAATGCATTGATAAACCAAGCAACAAACTGGACAGTAGAACAGAAACATGCCTCACAAACTGTGTTGATAGATTTATTGATGTGTCTTTGTTAATCACAAACCGTTTTGCGCAATTATTGCAAAAAAGTGCATAAACTGTATCTCACTAAGTGAACAATTTAGCATAATGTAGAAGTTATCAAAATGTGACCGTGTATAGATAACTTGTGTGAATATTATGGAAGCAATTTTATTATGTGCTAATTCCAGCATTAAGTTTTTTTTGTTAAAATTTTCAATAAATTGATGTTTGTTGAATTTATTTAGTTTTATATAAAATAGCCAAGTCAATCAAATTGTCTACAATAATTGAAATATCGTTATTGTTAGGCCACCCAATTTGCGCGTTCGGTTGCTTTACAAATGTAGACCTTGGCTGATTGCACACAGATCGGGTCGAGTGTAGCCTTCGTGGTGGATGTATTGTGAGCAGCTGTGAATTTATTTAATTATTATTTGTGGGAATTGTACCGCAAATGATACATTTTTTTATTCAAATTATCCCAGAGCTAGTACGCATGTACCGTAGTGTGTTTTTCGCGATTTATACATAAATTTATTCGTGAACCGTTTTTGATATTTAATAGCGCGTGAGTTATTTTTAACGATGCGCTATTGCCACCCCAAAAATTACGCCAATTTCTCTTGTTTTGCCTTTCGAGATTTTCATGGGAAATTGAAGAGCCAATTGGAATTCATGACTAAAAGCATCTTCAGGTTGCTACGCAACGAGCTACAGGAGGATTTGTTTTCAAAATGTAAGTGATGAAGTTCTGTACTTTTCGAATATTGCCATGAATTATAAAGGAAGAATGAAACTGACATCGCAACACTTTTTGTTTTGTTTTCAATTTAATTAGACTGAAGAACAGCGAAAGTCATGGGTGGTTAATTTAATTCATTCAACGAAAAATTCAAATTTTAAATTTGAAGATCACGCTTCATCTGGGTTTAACTTATTGCATTTGTGTACAAAACTGCTATTCCTTTAGACTAGGTGGTGCATGCACACTGTCGCGTACGTGTATCACGCGGACGCAGCTAGCTAAGTGCATGACCACTCACTGCTACATATGCGCGCCACATTGCTTGACACACTTTGTATTTTTGTGAGGTACTCGAAAGTGTCCTCAGACGGCGCGACAATGCAGTATTATCTCAAAATATTCCAGCGAGTGAATTTTGTCTTGTTGCATCGGTGCGTTAACGACGAGCACACATTCCACACCTTCGGCTCGTGTTATTCTTTGATATAAATTGGCTAAATCGCGTTATATTTCCCGATCGCCGGTGATAATTAGTATTAATAAACGTGTTTGATATGTTATCAACTATTTATCGCGTGTGTAATTTTCTTAATTCTAAATTTTGCGTGTTTCATTTATTCACGTGTTTCTGAGTCCGTTGCCGTCGGGCGACGGTCGGCGATATTTTGTGAATGCCAATAATTAATTGACTGTGCAAAACATTTGTGTCATCAACAGAGGAGCATGGACTAATTTTCAACCTGGTAAATATTGTCATACCTTTCATTATTTTGCGAATAACAAGAATTTAAATTTCGAGATTGCGTTCCGACGGAACTATAATTTATTTCAACATATAAATAATGAAAATAATGTTATGTTTCTTATTTATTTCAGTATCTAGCAACTTACCTTCGATTTACCGTCTTCCATAACTGGTAAGTAAAATAATTTCATTATTTATAAAAAGAGTTACTTTTCTTCGTTTCTTTTTCTGCATTATTACCAAATGACAAAGTTTTTTCATTAGGAACAGAAATTTGAAGTTATATTTGGAGAAGATTCAGTAATACATATTCCTCAACTTCTTATCTTAGTAAAATTTTCTTAAATATTTGATGTAAAAGCGTAATATTCAGCATAATACTTTTGAATTTCATAAATCGAATTTAATTATTTCATTAATTTCATTTAATCTAAATTGTGGAACTACTACCTGTATCATTTGTAAATGGCACTAGCATGAACTAAAAATCATAAAACAGACTTGTATTGTTTATATCTATATTGATCAGCAAACGTAGGCATTCGACATGAGAATTGTGTTTGTTTTGAATACGATTTACACTTTTTTATTACCGTGCGTATAGCAACGTCCAAACTTGCCGTGTGTTGTCGTTGCCATCCTCTCCAGTCTCGCTCTGCTGGCGTTTTAGTTGAGTTTAGTTGAGTTATATATCGCATGTATCGTCTATTGCTATCTGTTGCGACCTTGTTTGCTTGGCTGAGGCCAACTGCATGCAATATTTCAATACTTTGTCTTATAGAAAATTAATACTTTTCAGTACGTTCCTCTCTATCTCTTTTAGTTTATAAGGTATTCACTACCGAAGATCCTCAAAAAACATGCAGCACTCCCCTTTTCCCATTTTTTCTTATGAATTATAAAATTATAAGAATATATATTAGAATAATAAATTCTTATGAATTTCTAATGAATTAATCTCTTAGATCTCCAATTTCACTAGCTTAGCTAATAGAAAATGGAAGTCACTTTTACCGCTACCCTTATACGGTGCCCTGAATGGGAGTCACTTCTACCGGTATTCTCGTACAGTGCTCTAAATGAGAGTCACTTCTACCGCTACCTTCGTACGGTGCCCTGAATGGAAGTCACTTTTACCGCTACCCTCGTACGGTGCCCTGAAAGAGAGTCACTTTTTCAATCTAGTGTGCCTTTTTTTCGAATTTTTAAAACTTGCAGTGGTAAACGGGCCATATCTCGCGAACCCTTCTTGATATTTGCATTTCTTCTACGGATTCTGTTAGCCCAAGAGGCATTCTTGAAGTTGCAATTCGGTTCCATCGCGAAATTTCGCCTTAAGTGCCCAAAATGTGCATTTTTATTTTGTGTATTAGAATATTAGAATTACTAGCTTCCATGTGACAAAACAGTATTTCTTTAGTTTTGTAATATACAGTGGAATTCCGGTAATCCGGAGCCGGCTTGATCCGGCACCTCTTGTAATCCGACATGGTCATATGCCATATGTTTGTACTTTAGGATTTGTAATTTGTCGGATTACAAGGTACTTTTTTGTAAAAAATTCCGGACTGTAAGGGGTCTTAAGCAGTTCTCTATAATCCGACAATTTAATCCGACACCGCCCTGCAAAGTGATTTGCCAATATGGTGTAGAAAGTCTTGAAGTTTCTTAACGTCGTGTTGCATTTTTCTCTAAAATTGAAAATAGGGTCTAAACCAGCGTTTCTCAACCTTTTTTGACCCGCGGACCAGTAGAATTCGTTAAAAAAAATTGCGGATCAGTGATATTTTCTTAACAACAAATTTTTACTAAGTATTTATAAAGAACTGCTACGTAAGTTAATTGTAACATTTTTATTTTGGTTTGCTTACGTGATGGGAGAAATGTCCGCGGACCACTGATGGTCCACCGTATCGTAATAAACGATATAGAATTAAATTATCTATCAGAATCCGGTTAAGAATTTAATAAAAATTAATAGTTCCATGCATATTGCGAGTACAATTTTTCTCATGTTCAACACTACCACACTGAAAGTATCAGTGTTTACAAACAAACAAGTTTCTTTATCTCCTGCAGTTATGTGCGGTGGTCACGCGGTTGGCGTGCGTACCACGTTAGTCTTATTTTTGTCGTCAGGTGATCTGGACGCATATTTTCGGTACAATATTTTGAGTTCCTTAATTTTATGTCGCGTTATTACGTACTGTTTCTAAATGCTCCTTCGATTGTGCACGGGTGCTGTGCGGCGTTCGTTAAGCGCGGATTGTACATACGCAGAGGTAAAGCGTGAGTGATGTTCCGTCGGCCGTCGGATACTCTTTTTGTATCATAGGTACGGGTATTTTAGGATGATTTTTGTCACCCTTTTTAAATTCTCCGTTGGGTTGTATTTGTTTCTTGCAGGAATTCTACCTGCAACCCGCAAAAATTTGCATAAAAGGGTGATTTTTGTCACCCTTTCTCGTGAAATGTTTGTATTTATTCGTGTTTGCGCGTGATCTAAGCGGCTCACTAACTTCAGCGTGGCCTCGAAAGATACGAAATTAAATTCTCCGTCGGGTTGTATTTGTTAGCGGTAGAAGTGACACGCGTGCAGGGCACCTTACGAGGCTAGCGCTATAAGTGACTCGAATTAAGGAACCTTACGAGGCTAGCGGTAAAAGTGACTCGTGTTCAGGGCACCGTATGAACTCGGCGAAAATTTGCACGATCTGATTATTTTTTCACCCTTTCTCGTGAAATGATTGTAATTCTTCGGGTTTGCCCACGAACTAGGCGGCCCACTAACTTCAGCGCGGCATCTAGAGATGTGGAATTAAATTCTCTGTCAGGTTGTATTTGTTTGTTGCAGGAATTCGACCTGCAACCCGCGAAAATTTCCATAAAAGAGTGATTTTTGTCACCCTTTCTCGTGAAATGTTTGTATTTTTTTGAGTTTACACGCGATCATAGCGTCTCAATAACTTCAGCGTGGCATTTAAAGATGCGGAATTAAATTCTCCGCCAATAAATTCTTTTCTAATGCCGAGAAATATTGAAAGTAAAAGTAGATTTCGTGTATGTCGGTTGTTTCAACATTGTGAAATTTTAGTTTGGTCTTTTCAACTACGAGTTTATCAGTACGTTTGTGTATAAACAACTTTTTTTGTTCGACTGACGCGTATTATCGCTACGTACCAGCCTGGTACCTGGCTAAGCGAAACGCACACGGCAGTCGTTTCACCGCGTGGTCCGCGAACGTGTTTCTCTAATCGCCGTGCGTTTTGAGGTTTTAATTGGATTAATCGTCTTGTACTTTTTCGACCATCAGGCAAAATTTTCGCACTAGGCATGTGTGCCTGTTTTGTTTAATGATTTGTGGCGTTTAGAGTCTCCTTAAATAAGAAATAAGTGTCCATTAATCGGTGCGTGTGTTTTAAGTTGATAGAATATATTCCAGGATATAAAATCCGTTCATCAATGCATAGGTGTAATTAAATTTTATTACGGAAAGTTACGCCGGTTTAACTTAAATTGATTTTTCTATTTGAGTGATATGAAATTTGCATGTATCATCTTGCAAATTACAAACACATGGTATGTAACATTTTTATCAGAATTCTTGGTTCCGTTTCCGAAAATAACATGGATGATTTAATTACTACCAACATTGTTTTAAAAAAGTATCTGAAGATTATTAAAATTGGCAATATTCATATGGTCGACCACGCTCTCTCTGCCATCGGCCGTCGGCTCGGCCATCTTTTTGCTGAACACGTGAATGTTTTTAATCGATTTGTATTCCTTAGCATCATTAAATTAAGAAGTTTCTTGTTGACCGGCAGCTTATTTGAATGTTTTCCGCCTATCAATTTATGTCGGTTACTTTATGCAGTTGATGCAAATTAATAAATATACATTCACACTATGTTAAAATGTAAGTGTTTAATTTTTGTACCATCTTTTTGCTCAATTTCCCCTATGATTTTCGGGTAAAATCTTGGATTTTATATTAAAATATTGTTGTTTATTTGTAACTTTCCCTCTTCATGTTGTGAATATTAACTCCCTTAGTAGTTTCTTAAGTTTTCTTTTTGTAACACCTTGTATATTAGTTTTCATAGCACTACGTAGAAAATCGCCGGTATTTGGGTGGTTTGAGTGTTTTTTGTTCCAACTAGAGACTTTCTTTCTGAAACACCCTATATATTAATTTTGCTTTGACTGTGGTTTTTAGGGTTTTCCTCATTGCCCTTTAAATTTTCTTTTTGTGACACCCTGTATGTTAGTTTCCCGGAGCCTCGGATGAAAAACGAATGATATTTGTAGTGTTAAAATGTTTTTCTATTTTCACATTAAATTTTCCTTTTGTATTACCCTGTATATTTGTTTCCCTTTTAACAACGTAGAAAATGGGCTATTGCTAATTTCTTTTTTCGGTAGAACTTTTGGCATGTGCGCGGCTATGCAGGTCGTAAGTCCTGTTTCAATATGGCGGCATGTATTCTGTTAACTTGTAAAATATAAACTTGTATTCTATTGTTAATAAATAAATAGTAAGATATATTGACTGCTTTGATTTGAGTGCACCCTTTCTATCATTTCAGGAACAGGTCTCTAAGAGAGTTCTCTCTCTCAGGGGATGATACCCACTATAAAAATTGTTAAGGTATCCTGTGTGATTTGTGTGCTGCTTCTTTCATTTCAGCTACAGGTCAGAACTTGTAAGAATCTTTTAAGTGTCACCTCTCTTGAGGCGACTTAAAACTTAGAAATATTTGAACAAAACCTTATAAGGATTGTCCTTATAAGGAGTTCCCTCTCTTTGGGGGTGATCCCCCACCATAAAAATTGTTGGTATGCCTGAGTATTCTGGGGATGAAGCGTAGAGACATCGTAGCTGTAGGATGGGCCGGGAGCAATGGACGCATCGAAGCAGTGGACTGTCATAACGCCATGCCGCCAAAAAAATTAAAAATCTCATCCATCCACTCTCCTATTCTTTTTCTTCTATCTCCTTCCTCCTCTTCTCTACTCTGTTCTCTTCCTTCTGTCTTCTATTCTTTCTCTTCACTGCTATTAGATCTTCTACTTCTACTTCTCCTATATTTCTCTGTTCCCCGTTCCTACACTTACTACTTTCTTACTTCTCTTATTGCCTCTTCATTTGTATTACAATTTCTCTTATATTTTATTTGAGTTTACATATGAAACCCAAATTACACCTGTTATTTTTATATTTGAGAAAAATGCCTTCTATACCTGAGATTCGATCCGTGTCTACTAGCATGCCAGCAGGTGCACGTATCCACTCATCCACCGAGTGATTTTATCATTGACATTTGATTCTTCTATTTATAATTCTATTTTATTTAACTTTTTAAAACAACAACACAACACAAACAACAGCTATATATTGTACACGCTCGACGCAAACGGGAAAGCAGAAAGAATTATGAAGAATTATATAGTATTACATTATGTTTTATTAGCAACATTAAAAACTACATACATTTATTTAAATTGAAAATCATAGACAGTTCTTAAATCTCCAGATAGTAAAACTTGCCTTGTAAGACGCACATCAGTAACATTTCTGCGATGGAAACGGTAGACTCCTTGGCACAAGTGCTCCTAAACTTCTTCAACAGGTATCAACGTTGTTTATTTATACTAATTAAAACACACAACACAAGGTGCAAGCAAACATTAAAACACAAACAACTACACTACAATACAAAACATTTACATATAAAAACGAATTCTACGAGGACAGTACAACAAAATGTATGTACACATTAATACATAAGACAATACAGTAAAATCATAAATGTATTTTTACTGAGAGCGTTTTTAGTCTATTTGCACTGGATTTGATTAAAGGATCTACAATTGTTTCGTCTAAAAACGCCCTCAGTGAAAATACATTTATAAGTTAAAAATGTTGCACAACATTAGCACCACAACCCAAATATTCTTACAGTAACGTCATATACACAATAAAAGGAGTTCTCAAGTTATACATACATAATTACATATCACAAATAGCACTCAAGGAAATGTGCTCCAGAGTATGACACGCACGTACACAAATCTAGGATTACGCGCACTGTTGTTGAAGCTTCTCTAACAGATACCGTGTTGAAAATTCTAGGTCGCTCCCTTCGCAAGCTATATCCAAAAACCCCAACAATTTTCCCCCACATGTGAAAATCCAACTTAACCACCTAATTTTCGACGTTAGATATGTTGCAAACGCAACTTCTATGACAAACTAATACAACCCCACGGAGAATTTAATTTGACATCACTAGAGACCGCGCGGAAATTTCCCGCCTCCCTCGCAAGCTATTCCGAAAAAACTCCAACAATTTCACTCTTCATGTGAAAATTCCACTTAACCACCCAATTTTCAAATTTACCAATGTTGCAGGCGTCGCTCCTGCAACAAACTAATACAACACGACGGAGAATTTAATTTAACATCCCTAGGAACGCCCCCTTCGAGAGTTAAAGCTAGACAACAACAGTGCGGCAAATACCCTTATCCGCATTACCAACAAATAAAACGCAAACTCGTCCTATAAACACGACCAGGAATGTGAGGCGTTTAAATGTGTAATAAAATGTAAACTCTTGATAACCTTTTTTATAATGACGTAAAAATATGTACAAGAAGGTTTATTCTATCTATTGTATGGGTAAAATCCGTCCTTAAATCAGCTAATCTTTATAAGTATCGTTATAAAGAGTTTACATTGCATATTATTCCACAAGCATTCATCAAATTGATTGTCAAAGGTCCCTAAATATATACAATTCTAATTATAAGTGAACTAAAAGAATGCGTTCGTGGTTTAAAAATCGGGAAGTTTCTCTTGTACCCTTCCATGTGCGCATTATTTGTACTGGTTTGAAAAAGGATGTGTGGGCGCAAATGATTGCAAGACGAGCAACAAATTATAGAGGTATCGAATCCCGTTGAAACTAAGGTGGTCTTCAAGCAATAGTCCACTTGGTGTCCCTTGGGGTTGATGTCGTAGCAAAGCCAGTGAGATGACATCACATCGAATGTCAGGCGATTCTCCAGTGTATGTTCCACCGTAGTATTGCATCAAGGAGTTCCTTAAGCTCCAATTTCTAAAATAAAAATAATTAATCATAATAAAAGTGGAAAAGTTTAGAAATTTGATATTTTAATAAAAAGACATGTGATGCGATGTGAAGTTCACTGCCGCGTATAAATAAAACAGAATTGACATACAGAATTTACAATTCCAGCAAGCATAAATAATGAATTCTATACTATACCTTTTATCGCAGTGAGCATGCAGACGACTGGAAATGGACAAGGGGGACACATCAACTGACGTGAATTTAACACAAAATGCTCAAAATTCTAAAATTAAATCACAATTAATCACAATAATACTACAAAATAAAATAAAAACAATCACCAAGAATTTAAGTAAAATCATATTTAAAAACAATATTACTAGACACGGATACACAAGTTTAAGATTGTTGATTCACCGCACGCAAATAGATAAGAATGTTCACAAGATAAGATTCTTCGTTCTAACCCGGCATAACATTTAAAAAATACAGAACGCCTATGAATATAACTTCTAGAACGATGCATAAATTAAATTGTCATTTTTTGGTAAATTTATAACTTTTTTGAGGTTAGAAAATAAAAATTTGAAAAATTCTAATAAACGTTGCTCAAAGGGTAGAAAAGAATGGAAAAGTTTCAGCTAAATCAAAAAGGGTCGGGTTCAAAAGTGGTCGATTTGGCATGGAATACCCCTTATATATCTTTTAAATCTTTTTAGTGTCGTATCATTAATTTTGAAACCACAACGATTCTAAAGAACTTTTACTTCAAAAAACACACAAAATCATAGGAATTTGGCAGCGATTTTAAAACTTTGCGTTATACATTTACCGGCATATAACACCTACGATCTAAGCGCTAAACCGCCTTGATAAAAAATAAAATGAAAACTTACACTTTTATGCTGGACTAATTTCTCTGCACTTCTTGAATTTGATATAATGGAAAGTATTGTTTTACGCCAGGTACGCACACACTACACTCGATTTACGGACTGACTGACCTACGGGATCACGAAGTATAGATATATACCTACTTCGTGTACGGGATGTACGGGATGAAAGCGATGAGAGTAAACAATATGGCGGAATGCGTGCAGCGCATGTGCAAAGCACGCAGTGTTACACGATTTTATAACAGAAACAATGAATAAATAAATTCAAAGGGTTTTATATTTGTTTAAAAATACGTAATCTATTATTTAAAATTCAAATTATGTTTTATATAAACTTAACACTATTCCTCAGATTTCAATTTTTAAATTGAGATTGGCATATTTCGCCTCAAGGCGAAATAATATTGTACGAGCGACATAAAGCATTTAAATTAATCCGCATACTTTCTTCACCTAATAAATTACAGCTATTAACTATGCAAATATAATAAAAATATGAATCATTGTTTTAATAAATTGATCGAACACCCGTTGTCACAAATGCCTGAGTAACCTTCGAGTTCGGCGTGATCGGCGTCAAACAGCGCCACTGTCGCAAAACAACAAACAACATGTATGACAGTTGACGTGTTATTTCAAAACGACTTCAGTTCCACAAAAGCGAACACAAAAACCACGGTAGCAGGTTTTATTTTTGGATTATCTACCACGTTTCGCACGGAAATACGCTGCGCGACCTTGTTTCGAAACGGGCCATTCAAATTTAGATCATCTTAGTGCACTTTCCACGGAAATAAATGAGAAAAACATACGTTTAACCTTAAACGTATTCAAAGTTTGCTGCACCTCAGTGCTGTGGCTCATGCCACAGAAATAACAGACAAAATGGGTGAAAAGGAAGACAATGATCTGGTGGTAAACAACACGAAAACTTCAATCGATATGAACGAAAGTACTGATGCAATTGGCACAAAAACTATATTCTATGGAGTATACATTCCTGCAGATGTGCAAGTGCAAGAAACAGATTTATTCATGAATGTGTTTGATAACAAAGTAGAAGCATTAAAGCTTGTTAAAAAGTACAAAAAAGCCAGGTTCAAAGCATTTGATTACAGTAAAGATGCTGTAGAATTTGCTGAGAATGGATCTGAGTATCCAAACACAGTTGTAGAAGTTGTCAAAAATGGGGATAGTCCTAGTGTTGGTGAGAAACACAGCCCATTCAGGGGACCCACATCACAAAATTTGGTCAAGCTGAGGAAAGGAATTGAGACTGGTGATGTTGATTTTGTTCAGAAGACTATATGGGATAATCCAAGATATTTGATTGGGGCAGGGGATACACCATCAATACTTCAAGTAATACAACCATTGTTTCTAATAATATTTGTGAATTGACTGATTATATTTTAGGAGGGATTCAGATATAATGCCCTTCATGTTGCAGCAAAAGCCAAAAATCCAATAATGTGTGAATTGATCTTAAACACAATCTCTAATATCAAGTTCATTAAGAAGCTTTATGTAGATGACAAAGAACCAGAGGAGAGGGCAAAAATATTGCTAGATTTATACTTGAACACACCAGATAAGGGACTTAATGAAACGCCCTTGCATTTTGCTGTTAAATTTGGCGCACCAAAATGTGTTGCAGTGTTTGTTTCATTTCCACAATGTGATAAAAATTTACGAAATAAACACGGGAACTTACCGAAAGAAGTTTGTAACTTAATTCATAGACAAAACTAATTGCAATATCTAAACAATCGAATATTAAAATGTTACAATGTGTTTCAGATTATTTGTGATAGATATGATGGACCAGACGCAAAAATATTCAGTGAAGAAATCGCTGGTCTGCTTGAAGATAACTTCTACGTTCCAGTTCTCAGGTCAGAAGATAATTGTGCGCCACCGATTATCGGCACACCATTTTCGCCCACCAGTCCACCAGTAAATATACTCAAATTCATTATAAATGGGGTAACAGTATATGATACATAATGATGCTTTTAGAATTTTAATCAAGATCCGCTTAGTCCACGAATGGAAATTCACGCATACGCCGGCCCAATGAATAAAGAAGGTGCAGAGAGATTTCGGAAAATGATGAAGACGCCTCCAAGAATATTAAATTTTGGCAGTCCACTACGTACACCAGCTACAATTGCGTCTCTTAAGTTAAAAGATCACGAAAAAGGTTTAGAACGACTCGGAAACAACCTCGCTAGAAAAATGGACGTGCCTTGGAAAGAATACTGGCCCTTCTTGGATAGTTTCGTCGACCTTGCATCCGAAGACGGTCTGCGACAATTCGAGAACTATTTAGCCGAAAAGATGGCTGCCAAGTATAACTGCGATACCCCGTCACCGACAACATCAGCAACACCTCCATCACGTCATAGTGGAGTGGGTAAGCTTCCATGTTTTACCGAGCATACAAGCTTAGCGGACCAAATGGCGAGCAATCGAAGCGCGGAATGCAGCCCACTCACGGAGCTATGTCGTGCGTTACAAGCATGTAAATTAAATGATAACAGCTACTATTCGCCCAACAACAATCACTCACACTCGAATATAAATGGTGGTTATACCAATGGTGTTTGTGCTATGAACAATAATGGCAACCCAATTCATCTCCGCGACTCGGAGACGATGAACGGTCACGAATCTCTTTCGTTGACCCTTAATCCCACTTTGTGCATTGAGAAATCCCTGCAAGTTTTTGCAAAGCGTATATCCAATGATATTATTTATCTTATCGACGCTGAAAGTGAAACCTGTACGCTTATAGAGACACAAGTTAAACAATTGCAGTTGCTGATGGTGAGCTACCGATGCGACAAACGTTTCGAAACAGTTGATATTTCGATTGCTCATTCTCGCCTCGCGTATTTGATTAAAGCGCAACTCTCTAAATATCTGCACGATATGTCTGCTAAAGGAGTCATGGAACGTCTAGCGTCCTGGCTGGATTTCAGTGGCACGCACGGAGACTGTTTCTCTTCGGATGATGAAAGCGCACAAGGAGGCAACAGCCCAATGCATTCGAAAAGTCAGCATACAATTTGTCTGTTGAAATGTTTGCGAGAATTTTTAAGTAGCGATTGTGTGCACGAAGATATTGTGTCCGAAACGCAATGCGTAGACGTCTGGAATCATATGAAACCGTGCGGGTGTACATGGGAATGTAAAACGAAAAAGCAAAATGGCAGCAAGCGATTGCATTTGAAGAACAAATTCGCTTCTTTGGTCCTGCACGATATACCCAGAAAATTGTCGTTTGAAGAAAATAATCCTGATGCGGGTATATTTAACAGTCATATTTATCTTAAAAAACTTGCTTTTAACTATTTTTCTTTTAGTTATTACATATGGAAATAGTGATACATCAAGCAGTGAAGAGATCGATGACGACACCGATGAAATGTATTACACCCCGCCTGGTACACCTAGTTTATTAGAAGATGATCAAGATGATGATGACATGTTCCAAGAAACTCAACTTCCAGATGATGACATATACATTGAAGGGTAAACTCATCTAACTTATCTACAAAATCATACAACTTGTATAAATGATTTACGTTACAGGGATATTCCAACTAAAATCGACTACGCAGCATTTAACGCCTTAAAGTACGCTGAAGCTGATTTGAATTCAAAAGACTATCCCAATATATGCCGATGGCATCATGCTGTCGGCATGTACAATGAAAAGGAACGCGTTAGGTAATTTGCACGAAACTATCTAGACCCAAATCTCTACACATATTATTTTTCAGTTGGGCAAGTCCAAGTGTAGTAAAATATAACATCGGATCACCCAGTGTTACATCAACTCCTGTATCCCATCGTACAAACCGTGGCAACCAAACCGCGAAAGACATTCTCTCATCTTCGCCACCGTACACACCGCCACAATCATGGCTGCGAGTGACCGGTGCCAATTCACCGCGCGCCAGCCTGAAATTGCAGCGAGGTAACGCCAGTTTTAATACATAAGCAAAATTCATGCGCGTTGCGTTTATTAAAACTCGCAAAAGCAACAAGTTATTGTTTCGAAGACAACGGTGAGTTATTTATGTGAAGTTAGCACATGTTTTGTTCGTTCTACAACACGTATTCCAGCCACTATAATCTATAAATTATGTATACCCGTCTTTAAAAATGAGGTGGAAGTCCATGTGGACAATATATTATGTAATTTATTTATAAGATAGTTTGAAATGTTCCCTTTTGTTCTTTCTTCCAATGGCAAATGTGCATTTTATGTGTTGAAATATGTAATTGATAAGCGAAATGAAAGCCGCAAAGAATTCTAAAAACCGCATAGTCTTCTAGTTTGTAAGAAATATGCATTTATGCAAAGCACAAATCGAAAGTTTCAAAACAAAGAACTGTATTAAAGATTTTAGACAACATTTACCAAGAAATAAGACTGTTGAATTATAGCTTTCATATTAACTTGAAAACAAAAATACTAATCAACCTTTACAACATTACTCTTTCAACTGGTTAATATTTGGGTGTTGGAGTATAAAGTAAAGACTTCAGAGTTCAAAGAAGAATTTGCTAAGATGTGAAATGTATAAAATAGTCAGAAATGAAACGTGTTAACACAATTTAAATAAGTTAGGCGATGAAGATTGATATATTCAAGTAAGTTTACCGCTGTAAAATTATGTGATGATTATATTTTTCTATATACTTAACAATTAAACTAATCACAATAAAAATAAAATGCCAAAAATTTATACACAATGGATTTTACAGTAAAATAAAAACGTATAACAGAATTGTTTGACTTAATTTAATTATCTGAATAAGTAATGTACTTTTATCACACGTTTATTTCAGACTAGATTATTACAAGATAATTCACCTAACAAGCCAACAATAACCATCAGTTTTCTTTTGTTGACTAGAGGATCATAAACCCAATATTTCAAATGTTCATAAACTTGACAACTGCATTTCAGCAACATTAAATACCAATCCAAATTAATCTTAAAACCCAAAGGAAAATTGTGAAAATGTAGTTTTTTGTATGATTTAGCTAGATTTAAATAATGTTTAAATTATAACTCACCTACATCCAGCCACATTGGAGATGAACATCGACCAGCTTCCTCACTTACATCCACGGTTGATATCGACGTGTTGATGATCATACCACTTGAGGTTGTACTGTTATAAACATCAATTTCTTCATCTTCTTCACATATAACATCTATTTCAGGTGGTTTAGATTTACATTCTAACACAACTTGAGGTCCGTCACCAGCAGCATTGCATGTTTCTATAACTTCTGTAAATTCATGCGTTTCATTGGTATTGTTCACACAGTTTTTTCCCGGAATATTAAGTTCAGAGTGGATACTCTGCGGGGTCGGGTTGTGACGTGTTTCAGTTGGAAAAATCTTAGTTAGACTGTCACGAATTAACGCTACGTTGCTCTGAAAGTTCTGAATTAAGCAAGCTGCGTTAGAATCAACAGTGCGCAGAGTGCCTTTCGGTAGTGTTTCAAAGTGTTTGTCAATAGCGGCACTTTCGCGTTCCAGTTCAAGCAAACGTTCTTTTGCTTCCTGCAAAACTTCATCTGTTGGTGTAATTTCGTCGGAACTGCTACATGGAATGACAATACAGGGAGGTTTCTTTCGGCGTGATTCATGGGGTGACGACGCAGGACCAATCTGATCTATATAAATCAAATATATAAATAAGTAAATCATGATTCTATGTGGTACGCATGACCTTACAACTAACGACTTTCTAATAAATAAAACAATTGAAATGTGCCAAAATTATTTTATTCCTTAGAAAATCCCCATTGACGTGCAATCGCTGTGCGTATGTAATAATTGCATACATTAACTATACCATCAATGTAAAAAGGTTGACCAATTAATTGTAAAGTAGTACAGATAAAATTCAGTACCAAACTGAAGGACAAATGAGTAACATTGGTGCAGAACCTATGCACTCGCAAGTAACCGATTAAAAACAATAAAATACCTTCTTCGCCGCCGTCTTGAAAGAAAAGACGCATATTGCGCATGGAAATAGTTGATCGAATTCTTCCATCGTAGCCACGTGATTCAAGTTGTGTTAAAAGAGAATTCGTTCGGAGAAGTAACTCCTGAATTTTATTCTGATATGATATGTTTTCATCCTTTAGCTTGGTGATTTTATCCTGCATCTCGGCGCTGCTCTGCTTCAATTGTGTATTTTCAGCAACTAATTCAACTTCTCGCTGATTTTCCATTGTTTCAACACTCGCCGTGGTTCCTGTGATGGTTTTCGTTCCTGTTTCCTTACATTCAGTTTTTCGCATTCCCGTTTCTTGCTCACAAGTTTCAATAACAATCGGTAATGCTTGTTGAGACCGCGATACCAATCGTATTTCGTCAAATTGCTGGTCTATTTGGCTTTGCCTATTCTCAAGATACTCCTGACGCTGCTGAAGCGTCAATTCCTTGGTTAGCAACGTTACCTCTTGTTGTTTCAAACGCGCTTCTAATTCTTTTATATGAGTGTTTAATTCATTAATATCATTATACTTAGCTTGCACCTGATTTGTTGCTTCATTTAAATTTGCTTTTGTGTTTTTCAACTCATTTTCTAATCGCTTCTTTTCTTGTTTGTAGAATGTCTCTAATTTAGCAACCTTTTCTTTGTATCTCTTTATTTTACACGACGCCTCATGATGCATTTTCTTTTTCATTTTGGACAATTGATCATCTTTCAACTGCTTCAAACTTGAGACTTCTTTAACAATTGCTTCTTTAACTAATTCACAAATTTGTAAAATGGTATCAATGTGCACACCTGCTGATCTGAACAAGCCAATCATTGATTCTAGATTTAGTGAATTCATGTTTTGCTTGCTCAGCCAAGTATTAACATTCTCTTGTTTTGCTGTATTACATTGTCCTATTAAACCTGGAACACTTTGCAATATACATGTAAGCAATGACTCCTTATCATTTGATTTATAGTTCAAAAGAAGCATGTCAGCCAATTCTGGCTGTCTATTGAAGCCTATAGCTTCTAGGATATCACTCAAATCATTCTTTGCAAATCTAAATGCAGGACTTTTGTTCTGGCAATCTATGGGCTTAGATGGAAACACATTGTTTAAAGGTACTTCTGAACTTAATACGGACAATGTGTAGTGATAGTTTCTTTGAAGCAGATACTCAGCAATTAATAGGTTTTGTGCTTGAAGTTTTGGTGATATTTCAGGCTTCTTTGATATAATTGCTTTACCCAAACAAGTCTCCTGCAACACATTTACCATCTGCGACCGAAGGTGTGCCCTCAAATTTGATAAAATACCCTTTTCTTCAAAGTATTCAAACAATGAATGTTGGAACTCCTCAGTACTGAGTTCTTTGCCATGAATGATGTTGAGTGCAGGCTTGATTTTGTCTTCCAAATCCATGATATTGGTGGATGAATAGAGAATAAATAATTTCGTACGGGAATTTTCTACGAACCTCTTCTTTCATTTGATTGACACTTAATTTATTGTTATTCGATTGTTATTTAAAGTTGTTGATGCAATTTCAAACGTCCCGAACACAACCATAGGAAATTTAACAATGTAAACAAACCGACCGCGTGGGTTACCGACGAGCAAGTTGCCTAATCGAACATTGCCGATGATTTATAACATTTTTATGTCTACATGAACTAATAATTTGCAGTTTTTATTAACACTGAATATAATAATAATAGTAGTATGAACTGAATTATTTGTTTAGGTTCTAAAATTCAAATAAAATGAAACGTATAATTTGTACTAGAACCGAAAGATGGCGCCACATATATCAAAATCAACCATAAAATCAAAATAAATATTGTATTGTTTACATTTTTTGTATGCATTATAAAAAACATGCACGCGTTATTTCTATTAGAACCTGACAATAAACGAAATCAATAAAACGTGTGTTTTGACATCGATGTTTTTTTAATACCAATGAAATATAAACGAAATTAAAATTCATAATCAAGCATATAAACGCGTAGAAGTATTTACGACATCGCGATGCGCTTGTGCGTTTTGCTATTATTAAATAAAACAATGTTTGAAATGTTTGCCATCTGGTAGGGCTGTTAAATTGTGACCGCAACGCTAACTCGTCTCAAATATCGATTGGCAAGTGTGCAAATCAATTACTGCAAGTGCGAGCGCGAGAAAACGTTTTTTCAGAAATTTACCGATTATGAAGAACCTAGTACCTACGTGTCTATGTCTCAATCGTTCAAATTATAATGAACAGGGTAGTAAAATATGTCACGCTATTTACCTATTTACATGCTTGCGATTTTTTACAATCCCAACGAAATAGCAATAACAAATAAATAGTGTTGATATCATACTGATTTAATTGCCGTAAAGTCATAACCATAATTTGCGCAATTTATTCACAGTTTTCGAATTACATGAGTCTTACCAAGACGGCTATCCTTGGAATTTGGTTTCGTATACAATATCACAATAATTGCAATTTTACGGAGTTGAGATAACCTGAGTGAGTTGATTTTTAAATTGAAAATGTGTTGTAAAAGCAATAAAATTGGTACAACAATACAAAAAAAAATCAACATTATCCCAAAATTTATGGAAATAAACTAATCTAAACAATGTGTTAACTTGAAATTGTTAAAATGCACACTCATTTACAAAATATTGCAATAAAAAGTGGTTAAAAATTACCCAAACATAAAATTCTCATTATCATATTGTTTATTGTGTTTTAACTCCATATTAACATGCAGCAGTCTTCTCAAATGTTAATATTTTAATAGTTTTACAAGTTTTACAGCCTGCGATGCAATAACAAGCCACAGCTTGATTCCTAAATAATTGTTGAATAGTTTTCACAGTTGGACGACAAGGTGGCCTCATTGGTCCACGCGTAGAATTACAAAAAGCCACATAAAACGTGTGATAGAATCAACAATATACACGGGTACTAAAAATTTAACTCGCACTTAAATTAAATACCATCATAAACCAAAAAATTATATTATTTTTTCGGCTCCTCTCAGAAATACACACAACTTAGTTTACTACTCACCAAATATTAGAAACAATAAACGAAAACCGAACGTTAAATATTCATTGTGCGTACATTGTAAGTCAAAAGTCAGTGGAGTCGAATGATGGGAAATTCAATTTGAGATAAACTAACACACAGCATAATGTCCTTATAATGAAAGAAACAAATAAGCATCGTAACGATGGAAAACGAAATAGCGCTTTAAGTGCCATGTATAAATCATTGTCGTGCGTAAAATGGTGGATGATTTATTGAGTTTGGTAATTTTTGGGTTTATTTGGTGCTTTATTCTTTTATTTAGTGTTTTAACTTTATTACGCATTCGCTTATTGTTTTTAGCTTGTGCTTCACAATCGTTAATTTTTATTTTTAACGGAAAGTTACTCGTTTTGTCTAAAGTTGTTTGATTTATGTTTAGATATTCATGGAAGCTATGAATACATACAAAGTTACTAATCAATAGAATAGAAAAAAGGAGGCGCCATTTTATTTAACTCCACACGTGTATTTGATAAAACTTAATCGAATGATACTGTTATATTTTCCCAATTTTACAGCACTAACAAGTTATAAGTCAATCATAAATCAAGCAATTGAAGCAGACAAAAAGCATTTGAAAACCACGCGGTGGGCAGTCGCCATTGTTGCGCTGATGTTTGGAAAACCAACTTAAAATAATAGTCACCATTCTATGAAGGCTGCCATCGTTTTGTTCCACATTACTGTTGTCGATTGTGAGTTCTGGGGTTATACGATCGATGCCATTGTTCGATTTATTTACGATCAACATAACACACTCATACAGTGTGTCATTTCAGTGTATATCAGTTCTAACAGAAAAAAGGGAAGCAAGTAAGAAAAAGATGCCCAATTTTATTGCCCTCAATTTTCCGTTTTTAAGGAGCAAGAAAATTGATATATTGAGGGTGGCCGTCATAAACGTGACCGAGTTCTAATGCTTTCTGGGCCATCTTCTGGCCAACCATGCTATTCTTTGCCATTGTAAGCATCCATTTGTTCTTCGTGGCATTCTTGCATTCTTGTCCGCGTGTGCGCATCGAAAATCTCTGGCTAGGCTTTACTGTGTCATATTTTCTCATTTTTACAACTCTGAACGTGAATGTAGGTTATAAAACTGACCAAAAGTCAATGCGTTCTACATTGGTCGAGTATTTTACAACCGGGGTGTAAATTATCGAATGAATCAAATTAGAAATCTGAAAATTTGAACATTCAATGTAAAGTTAACAAACGTTTCAATACTCAATATGGTAGAATTCGAAAGTTTAAAAAACAATTCATACTGTGATAACTGGAAAAGCATAGAATCTAAGAATTTGACTGTTAAAGTTTTGACTTTCAAATCCGTTTATCTATAACTAAGTGCAATTGTATCATTAGGAACTAAATGTTATAAATCTCATACATATTTTAAGATTAACATTTGAATAGCCCCAATAAAATATTTAACTCTAACGTCAATGTTTGCATGCAATTTCTTGACTTATTAATCCTTTGCCAGGGGGATTATTATTTGCATATATTGGCCAAAAGAAATTAACGCATTTTGTGCCATGGCACATACCAAATTAAGTTCAAATTTTAATTAAAAATATTAAATATCATACAAAACAGAAATTGTTGGTAATAGGTATATTGAGGTTACATCAAATTGAGTAATTTCCAGAATACACGATTCTCGTGATCAGCCCAAATTCTAGGGACCAGCGCGCTTTGAAAGCAAAACACCAATAGCACATCAAAAACAATTTCAAACGTCGATTCCGTCTGATCTTTTATTCGGCGGCGCGTCCACGCCGCGCACAAATAATACACAACTACCTATTTGCCATCATACGAGTGCGTGCAGCTCTAACGAGCACCGAGATGTGTTTCGTATCGTCCGAAACGTACCCGCGTAAATATTTATCACCGTGTGCCCGACTGAGCTGCGCATCGTGTGTGTGCTCTGCGGCCACTTCTTGATCAATCGGATCGATGTTTTCCGCATCAAAGGCGGCACCGCGCGCGCATCAAAAACAAACGACTCACAATAATATACATGCGCGAGAGGAAAAAGTTTCGCGGAAAAACCTTCTCAGACGCCGCAGATCAGAGGGAATATTTCAAAATTAATTATAGAAATTAACTCGCGGCGCGCGGCTGTGAATCATGTGTAATTTCTTCGATGTAGTACAAAGTAAATTTTCGTTTTATTGGAAAGTAAACATAAATATTTGCCGTTTTCTTTTAAAATAACAAATATCGCACGAAATCAAAGGCAGATATACAAAGTGTTTGAATTCTCTGGGATATAGGTAAATCATCGGATTGCTGATTTTGAAGTTTTGACAGCTGAAGAATACGTAGCAATAAAATTCAAATATTAATCGCAATAATCCTTCTGATTTTAGTCAACCCCCCAATTGCAATAAGCGAGATAAGCGAGAATGGATTAAGAAGTCAACATTTTGCATGACAACATTGGCTTGGAAGTTAAAGACTTTTATTGCTACAATTCCGACGTCTGTTTTCACATTTAGTTGCAATCACGGAGGATTTATGAGGTTTAGTTGACTTAAGGCAGACTTTTCGGTGATAAATTGCTACTGTATTGCCCTCAATAAACGCACAATGCATATATTGATAAGCGGATTAAGAAGTCAACTCTTTATGACAAGTTTTCACAGCAAGTTTTTATCAATATTCTCTATTCTAAGGTTTCACTATAAAAATATTAATAAAGTTCAACAAAAGCAAGTGGCTCCTTTTTAGAAAATTTAATAAAAGGTATTATAAAGTCACTATTTTAAGCATATAAACAAAGGATTTGAAAAGTCATTAGGCTACCTGTTTCTACTAGCGACAGTTAATAAAGATTAAGTTATAAACGTAAGCAAATTTCCAGACGGATTTAAAAGTCAATTCGAAACGCGTTAATAATCCATAATATGAAACTCAAGTCATACTACAAATGAACTGAATAAATTTAAGTTTCTAATGACAAATATCATAAATCAATCCAAACTAATATTTTTTACATCCTGCACCCCTTTATTTATGTTAGTCTGAACGCAGTCTCGCATCGTTTACTTGTTATTACAATTATATCGTTGTTATGTACATTATGCACTCGCCCGTTTCGCGCATTGTTATCACGGCATAGTCGCAGGCTTTTGGTTTTGTTACACGCGGAGATTATGACGCGGAAGCCGCGGGGGTTCCCCTTCATGTGAGAGACTCACTGTACTATATTTTCGTTTTTCGCGTCTCAAACAACGCACGCGTGTGCGGACACGACGCCCATTGTTGCGGCGCACGTTTCCTACTTCATTATAATGTTGTTTTGGGCTCGTTGTTTTTTCATCTCGCTGCACCCTGCGAACGCGCGTGTGCCGGCTCGTTCTGATCTGTTGATCCTGTTCATCGCGTCTATTAAAATCGGAAATCCCAAAAACCCAATGTAATTGTTTATCTAACGATAACCACGCACTACAGGGATGGACTAGGGCAATATTTTTACTGTTTAAAGTTGGTTGTGTTGTAGTATGTTT